GGTAACATTTATGTACATATGATATATGCGGGTGTAAATGTTTTCATAAGAGCTGATATGAAGCTATAAAAATTTCAGGGCCTCCTGATACTTATGATCTAAAACATAGACAAGAAGTCTCAAATGTAATACTTTGCTGCCCTCTGGTGGTTAGATGTGAAGCTTATATTCACCGTTTGGGAACATATTTCTAACGTTTTTCCCCTATACTGAAAACCAGATGTAGAGAAAACACTTCAAACTTTGGATGTTGCATTTATATTCAGTTGGCCTGTCCAGATACCCACACTGGCGTCTCTGCACTTGACCACTTGTCTGCTTACATGATGTATTTCCTGTATTTGTCCCAAGTGTGTGTAGTACTTTTGATTACCTGATGGGACACACTTGCACACAAAAATAAAAAAATGCAAGGATTTACAGAGCTTTATTTTTTTTTTTTTCAATACTTAACCTGGTCAGTGGTCGTTATGCAACCATTTCTTAATTGTGGTGCTTCTAAATTAGTGATAAAAAGCAGTTGCAATTGTTGTACAAAATACACCAATAAAATGTGCAACCCTTTGTTTTACTACCAAATTATATGTAATATATTTTAACCTACAATGGAATGTTTTCCTCAACATCTCATGATATCGGGGCACAGAAGTTCCTGAATTTGATGCATGATGGGATAACCTTAGCCATACCGCTCTGAAGCGCTATTCGAGATGGTGTTAGTGTGCACTGTGCATTTAATGGCACGTTTTTAAGACTTGGGACAATCTTGCGCACTTACATCTTATTGCGTGCACACGCTCTCTCGAGTGGCCAAGTCTAGGTGTGGGTATTTGGGCAGGACCTGTGTTGTCACCTAGATGATCAACGACTGTTTTAATGATTTGTAAATGTGATGGTTGTTCACGAGTCTCTTGTTTGTCCTGAGCAGTTAAACTGCCCACTTTTTATCAGAAAAATCTTCCGGGTCCTGCACATCTTCTGCATTTTTGAGCCCTTTCCCAAAAGTGGCTGTATGATTTTGAGATCCATTTAGGATAATTGAGTGATTCAGCTATTACAAAAGGTGAAAACATTCACTTATGCTCAAGAAGGAAACATGGTGCAGAAGATGCTGGGAAACCAACAAAATGTACAGGACCAGGAGGATTTGTGGGCAGTTTAACTGCTCAGGACAAACAAGCGGTATATGAACGGCTATCACAAAACAACACAAAAAGTCATTGATCATCCAGGTAACAATTAAAAATAAAGGGTGTGTAAACTTTTGAACAGGTTCATTTGTATAAATTAAGTTATTTCGTCTCATGGACTAAACATCTATTATGTGAAATACCTTATTTAGGACAGTGCTAAATAAGAAATAACCTGCAGGTGCTTCAAGGGGTGTGTAAACTTTTGAGCATAACTACGGTAATTAGGCCTAATATTGCTTGCAAAATGATTTCACTTATAAGTTAAATAAAAAATATATATATATATCGTCTCATTTGTTAGATTTGAATTCCGCAAGTCTGTGTGCAACTTGTTCATGCTAGCCAGCACCCAGATCCTAAAATATTTAATATATTTTTGTTTGTTGAATCTCAGATTTTCTGAGTGAAAATATATTTTGAATGCATTTTGAAACTTCAGTGTACACTACTGTTAATAAGTGTATAAAGTGTTTTTCTACTCCAGCCTTCACATTTTTCTATGCTAATTTGATCCTCAAGATTTATTTTCTTATTATTATCAATGTTGAAAACAGTTGTACTGCATAATTTTTTTTTCAGGAAACTGATACATTTATTCAGGATTCTTTGATGAAAAGAAAGAACAGAATTAATTTCTGTTAATTTTTAATCAAAATCTTTAATAACATAAATGTATTTCATTGTAAGGTACTGCAGATAATACAACTTTCTGATACACCTGCGTTTAGTTATAAATACATGGCACCCATTTTGTTAATATTTTTGGCCCATATTAATTCTCTGAAATGTATATATAATGAATAGATAGGTTGTCCTTTGCAGTGATTGGCATTGAGTTCAGAAAATAGCACCATGGACAGCAACACACAGCACTTATTTACTTGAGTCAGTGGGATTCAAAGCATCATTATACTTACCTAAAGGATTATTAGGAACACCTGTTCAATTTCTCATTAATGCAATTATCTAATCAACCAATCACATGGCAGTTGCTTCAATGCATTTATGGGTGTGGTCCTGGTCAAGACAATCTCCTGAACTCCAAACTGAATGTCAGAATGGGAAAGAAAGGTGATTTAAGCAATTTTGAGCGTGGCATGGTTGTTGGTGCCAGACGGGCCGGTCTGAGTATTTCACAATCTGCTCAGTTACTGGGATTTTCACGCACAACCATTTCTAGGGTTTACAAAGAATGGTGTGAAAAGGGAAAAACACCCAGTATGCGGCAGTCCTGTGGGCGAAAATGCCTTGTTGATGCTAGAGGTCAGAGGAGAATGGGCCGACTGTTTCAAGCTGAAAGAAGAGCAACTTTGACTGAAATAACCACTCGTTACAACCGAGGTATGCAGCAAAGCATTTGTGAAGCCACAACACACACAACCTTGAGGCGGATGGGCTACAACAGCAGAAGACCCCACCGGGTACCACTCATCTCCACTACAAATAGGAAAAAGAGGCTAAAATTTGCAAGAGCTGACCAAAATTGGACAGTTGAAGACTGGAAAAATGTTGCCTGATCTAATGAGTCTCGATTTCTGTTGAGACATTCAGATGGTAGAGTCAGAATTTGGCGTAAACAGAATGAGTACATGGATCCATCACGCCTTGTTACCACTGTGCAGGCTGGTGGTGGTGGTGTAATGGTGTGGGGGATGTTTTCTTGGCACACTTTAGGCTCCTTAGTGCCAATTGGGCATCGTTTAAATCCCACGGCCTACCTGAGCATTGTTTCTGACCATGTCCATCCCTTTATGGCCACCATGTACCCATCCTCTGATGGCTACTTCCAGCAGGATAATGCACCATGTCACAAAGCTCGAATCATTTCAAATTGGTTTCTTGAACATGACAATGAGTTCACTGTGCTAAAATGGCCCCCACAGTCACCAGATCTCAACCCAATAGAGCATCTTTGGGATGTGGTGGAACGGGAGCTTCGTGCCCTGGATGTGCATCCCACAAATCTCCATCAACTGCAAGATGCTATCCTATCAATATGGGCCAACATTTCTAAAGAATGCTTTCAGCACCTTGTTGAATCAATGCCATGTAGAATTAAGGCAGTTCTGAAGGTGAAGGGGGTCAAACGCAGTATTAGTATGGTGTTCCTAATAATCCTTTAGGTGAGTGTACATCTGACATCATTCAACCTTAGAAATACACTTCTGTGCTTCATTTGATTCTGAAGAAGGAATAACCTTTTTTGAGGAAAAAAGTCAGAGAACAAAGGTCAAGGACAAAATGCCATGTTGAATGTAGTAAATGACAAGTTTATTTCTCGCACAAAATGTACAAAATAACAAGAAAATGGACAGCCCGTCCCCCCACCCCCCTCCCTGCCCTGTTTGAATTTCCCCGCTGATATGAAGTTGAAGATCTGGAACATGTCTACGGCAAGTCCGATGGTCCAAGCCAAAACGCATGGTTTTCTTAGAGACAACACATACCCAATTCAGATTCACCGAACAATTAAAAATGAATAAAAACACCATATTTACAGTCTTGTCTGAACTTTTACAGCATGCCATCTATATATTCATACAGAGCTTTTGTTTTTCAACAGAACCCCATATAGAAAACATATTAGAAGATCAAATCAAGTTCGACTAATGGCGAGAGACACTCAAAGTACAGCACTGCGTTTGTCGCGGTATAATCTTTTTGATTCATTTTCACGTCTTTTTTTATATTCTGTAATTCTAACAAAGAATCTCGATGGAACATTTGTTTAGTCCTCAACAAGAAAAATCCTCTTATTTACACCAAGTCAAGTGTTTTGCACCTTCAAGCCTGTTTTTTTTTTTCTGTTGAGTTTTCCCATTTCAGGAGATTGTGTTCATGACTAAACGAATCACTCGAACGTCACACAGCGCATCACTTATATTTATCTAAAAGGCAAAGTTGCAGTCCCATTTGGCAATGATTCGCTTTTGGATACAGAGGAAAGCAAATCCACATCGCTGTGTTGTTCACAATGGTGTGTTTTGGTTTTTGTTAACTTTCTACTAATGATGTTTGTTATATGTCAGTCTGACGCAGTGGTACAGGAAGCAGCTATGGCACAGGGCAGAATGTGTGTTTGCGTCTGAATTACAGTTTCATGGCTTACTCGCTCCGTTTCAACGTCAACTTTACAAGAGCAAAAACAAAAGAAATCAAGCTTTTTAAAGGATTGTTCGTCTAATGATATGTACAACTGGCCTTTAAACTCCACAGATGAGCTGTTAGCATTATCCGGCGTCTCATACATTGGTATGAAGGCATTTCAAATGAACGTGTTTGCAGTTGTCACCTTGGTGGTAGAGTATTGCTGTACAGCACTAGTGAAGAAGTCTAACAAAACGCTTCATTTCTTTACAAAACTATCCTGTGCTTTCCGAGTATATACAGCTAGAGGATTATAGTTTGATTTCTGGCGATGTCAGCAGAGATGTGTCTCAAGTATGTGATCTTTACATTTATCCTTTAACAGACTTTGTGCCGAAGATGAAATGCCAAGGACTGCAGTTTTAATCGGGAAACCCACAATTCCCAGAATGCATTGGATGAAGCATATACGAGGATAACGAGGCAAAGGCATTGCAAATCAAATCAAGTCTAAACGCATGAAAAAGGATCTGAACTATACAGTTTCAAGCCATGTTAATGTCTTTCCTGTGAGGTGGGATTCCTTTTCAAGTGTGCAAAAATACTCTCAGACGTAACTTGGAATATGAACCAGTTTTGTTGGTGGTTTGAACTACCGCTTTTTAATTCAATTGTTAAATATTTAATATGTTTTTGAAAGACTTTTATATCCACACCGGGTAGTTTTAAGTAATGAATTTCAATATACATATATATCTCTATTTTTCCTGCTTTTATAAAATGACACACGGTGATGAACCATCAACAATCTCTCTATATATATATATTTATTTTCGTATTCCTTTTTCTTTTCTAGAATATCTTATTTAATTTGAGATCAAGTTGCTCTTGTAAACAAACAGGTTTCAGAGGATTGCCAGCCACCATCGCTTGTTCTCTGACAGTCTCTTTCTCTGTGGTTCCTCCTCCCTCTCCTCCTGCTCTCATTGAAGCAGAGCCCTGATTTGTTTAGAGGTGCTGTCATCATTTAAATGTCTTGTTGTATACCTGGATGAAAGAAAGTACAATTTCAGGTGTGCATACAAGTACATACTACATGTGCTGCACATTCTTTGTGTGAAGTGATTTACTCCACACTCACCTCAGTGCATTCAACAGTCCCTCCACGCTGTTTGAAGGCTGCTCTTTCAACACCTTGATGCAGCCCTTCATCTGCAAAACACACACACACACACACACACGCATGCATGCGAAAATACAGCTTTAAAAGAAAGGTCACCCCTTTTTGTCCCTCACCCCTGACTGTGATCACAACCCTGTACAAAAAAAAAGACAGGTTTGAAATGACATGATGGTGCTGGGTGGGCTACTGTACGAGAGCAGTTCAATGATATAATATTCTCAAAATATGCAGCAGTTGAATCTGCCTGTAGACACTTTAGCCACACTTAAATCGGCCTCGTCCCATCTTACATGACAGACATGCTGACCATTCGTAATTATGGTAGGACGTTGAGGTCGTCCAATCAACTCATGTTGGAAGTGCCCAGGTCAAAACTTAAACACTGGGGAGACCGTGCTTTTTCAGTTTCTGGACCTAAGCTCTGGAATAAGCTCCCCAGTGAGATGCGTATTGTTACTGACCTGGGCCTTTTTAAATCAAGACTTAAAACGCATCTTTTTATAGTGGCTTTTAGTACCTAGTAGTGTGGTGGCACGTTTATATTGATTTTATTTTTATCTATTTTTCTTACGTTTCTTTCTTTTATTATTGTACTTGTGTTTTTGGTGTGTTGTTGTTCTAAATTGTTGTTTAATCTGTTGTAAAGCACTTTGGTTCAGCTATTGGTCGATGTAAGGTGCTATATAAATAAAGTACATTTACATTTAAATGTATGGGTTTCCTTGCATTAGACAAACAAAATACATTCTGCAAACCAATTATGCTTTTCCATAGTCCATAACTATCAACTAACTATTGATTTTGACATCAATTCTCCTCAAGATCTAGTTCACATTAACTGTGAATGTGATCTACTAAAATTTGACATCCAGAAAGTGTCCATGTAATGTTTTTTTTTTTTTGGAAAGTGTCTTTTTACTTTGATATTTTAATATACTGTATAATGAAATTACATTCATATATTTTTAAGGTTCACTGTATCTGAAATCAATAAGTTGGTCTTACATCAATCTTGGAGGTCTTGGCAAAGGCACCCACTGGATGAACGTGGTCATAAAGGATGATGACGCCCACCATCACACGCATGCAGAACAGCATGGTGTCTGTGTTAGTGAAACGGCACCGATACTCCCTTGGGACAGGACATAGCGATCATTTTAAACAAAAATGAACCTATTCTGGATAACTGACATGAATAAAAACTCAAATAATTGCATTCTTTTATTGAGAAGACGTTGAATCAGATGAACTTACGGAGTCTCCAGCATGACACGGCACACACAGGCCATAGTGCTCAGGCAATCTGTGGTGTCCTCGATTGGCAAAGTCTTATTCTGCAACATGCATGTGAATCAAGACCAGTAAGAGCCTCTAGAGGGCGACAACATTTCTGTTTTCTACCTTTACAGAAGATTTAAGCCGCGTTTCCACCGCAATTACCAGGAACTATTTGTCCCAGGAACTTTTTTCATAGGAACTTTTTTTGCCCCAGAACGGTTGCTCACTGCGTTTACACCGTGGACTAAAGTACCGGGAAGATTAGTCTGGTGACGTTGAACTGCGTGCGACTGCTCCTCCCAGTCTGCGCGTACTTGTTTTGAGTTTTAAGTATTGAGGAGATTCAAGCTGTGCTGTTTTTGTGTGCGATCTATTGGTTTACTAACGAGGTAATTAACAAAACGTCAGAAAAGAGACGAACACTAATACCAAAGCGTATTCATTTCAGAAAGCTCGTAATGCTAGATAGACAACGTTTGTTATCAGCTATAGCGGACATGACCGTGAGATGGATGGGACGAACGCGCGCCATCCGGCAGAGAGAACAAGGTAAAAGAACCAATCAGCATGTTCAGCGCACAAGTCCCACCCCGAAAGTTCCTAAACTCTGAAAAAGTACTACCTAGCCAGCAGGGACTTTCTGGGGGGGAAATTTTTACCCGGAACTTCATTTAGACCCTGGTTCCTGCGGTGTAAACACACGGAGTACCACCCCAAAGTTCCTAGTTCCTGGGGAAAGTTCCTGCGGTGGAAACGCGGCTTTAGGCTGTGTTCGAAAATCTTCCCCTATACCCTCATTCACTATTCCCTACATTACTCCACTAATATAGTCCACTAGTAAGAGTGAATAAAAACGAGTAAAAGTGGCAGCCCTTACGGCTCACTCACAGTTGTTTGCATAGTTGTGCTTAGCAAACTGGCCGCTTGAAAAGATTTATCTTGAACTCTGTCATGAAAACTAGCATGTATAAATCTTAATTAAACAATCAATTAAAAAGGAATTTATACCTGTATGATATTACACTGCACCCACATTGGACTATCGGTTTGGAAATTGGATGGATGGATGATTCAGCTGCGAGTGCCATCTTCTGGTGTCTCCCAGTGCATTATGGGTATTCTCTAACCGTTGAGTGTACATCGGTTATACACACGTTATTGCGATGCAATGTGGGAGTGAATGAGTGCTCTTGATAATGTCCACCATGGTTTCGGACACCACTACAAATGGCTGTTCCCTCAAATAGTGCCCTATTTAAGGGTAAAGGGGGTGATTTCAGACACAGCCTCTGTGAAAACTTTACTTACCTCCGACACAAACTTAGTCGTGGCATTGCTCAGGGTTTTGAGCATGGGTGTGGCTTCAGCGTAGAAGAGCGACATCCGATTGGCCATTTCATTATTTACTTCATTCTCAGCTTCTAACTGTAATGCAAATGGAAAATGTTACTTCAGATGTTTTGGTTGCATATAAAGGCTTCTTTTTTAAGTAACACATTCACTAACCTCAACATGCAAATGTAATCTCTGCTCAGACATTTATAAAATTCTCAAATGGTTATTTTTGGGGTTGTTCAACTGTAGGTTGCTAGTTGGTGTTCTGCACTATTTTTCATTTTGATTTGTCGTTTTCATTGATAACAGATGTGCTCCTTTGCAGAACCTGATTTCACCAAGTGCAACATGTTCCTGGATCAACATCTTTGTTGATCCTGGAACAACATTCCTTTCAACCAATCAGATTTGAGGGACAAGTTTACAGTTTATATCAAGTTTAGGCTCACAACCAAGGTTACAGTAGGTGCTTCTACATCAGTGTTATTCACCCATCATTTCCCTCTCATTTTAGGGATAACTTATGGGTAGGCTCAGGGGTAGTTATTATTAGGACTACATTTTGGACAGGAATGTTGTTCCAGGATCAACAAAATATGTTGACCCAGGAACATGTCCAACTCAGTGGTAGAGTGGACACTTCTAGTAATGTTGATTTCAGCAGATCATTGATCTTACCTGCTGGTTGTTCAGACGATTCCTGCTGATGGTCCTCCTATAGTAGCTGAAGTCATTCTGTATGGCTGGATTTGTCATCTAGTAGTAAAGACAGAATTTAGATCAAAGCAGTCTTCAGTGCATATTATTTCTCAGTCAAAGAGAGAAGGGCTTTTCACACTTGAAATAGTTAACCCTGGGTCAACGGAGTCCTGAGTTATCTTGCTTCACGTTTCACACTGCTCATACTTTATGGGTTAACAATTAATCCTGGTTATTTAGCTATTATTATAACATTATATTCCTAAACCCTTGGGTTAACGTTAAAATCTGCATATTTGCGGTGTCATTGTCAATGATTCTACGAACGCAGCACGCAACCTGCTGTAGAGTCGAAACTGTGTTCGAAATCACCCCCTAATCCCCTCATTCACGATTCCCTACATTACTCCACTAGTTCCCTAGAGTGAATGAACACGAGTGAGCGAATTCGGACATTGAGAGCTGTTTAAAAATCATTTGAAACTTAGCATACTGGCTGCTTCAGTAGTAATGAAAAGATTTATCATGGAAACTGGCATGTATAAATCTTAATTAACCAATAATCAATTAAAAAGGAATTTATACCTGTTTGATATTACACTGTACCCACATTGGACCAGTTTGGAAAATGGATGGATGGATGATTCAGCTGCAGGCGTCATCTTCTGGTGAGACGCAGGAATTAATTTGGCGCGACTGTCACAGTGCATTATGGGTATTCTCTAGCCATTGAGTGTACATTGGTTGTACACTCATTATTTAAGTGCATTGTGGGATTGAATAAGTGCACTCGATGATGTCTACTATGGTTTCGGACACCACTACTAATGACTTTCCCCTCAAATAGTGCCCTATTTAAGGGCATAGGAGGGCGATTTCGGACACAGTCGGAGTGGTGCAGGGATGACATTAAAACCCAGAAGACTAATTCACCAGTGGTTCCCTCAAGATTTTTCCTATGGGTTTTGACGTAAATATAAGGCATGCAATTAGTTTTCGGGTTGCTAAACATCTAACATTCTAACACCGCATTTGTTCCACGTTGACTGTACACGTTTGGAACCGCAATGCGGGTTTGGCAAATCCAGAGCAGGGTTTTATAACCCCAGGTAAAAAGCAGTGCTAACCCGGTACAGTGAAATGTTCCTTTATGCGTGGTTTAGAACGGTGATAATCCAGGTTTAAGCGCAGAATGAAAAGCCCTAGAATGTACTCTCCAGCCAATTCACTGATGTACTGAGCCTGGGTTCATTAAGTGGATACTTCCAACTTCAAGAGGTTACAGAAAACAGTGCATCCCGTTGTGGATAATTATTTCTTAAATGTCCATTCTCAAGGGTGCATTTTAGAGACAGACCAGCTAATAGTGTTGTCATTTAGACATTTTGCTTGACGTGACTCTCAGAGAACATCAGTGTGAAGAGCCTTGACTGAGTGCAGGGCTAAATATTTTAGCAGAACTCATGCCACATGAAATTAAAGTGAGTAATGCGTGAGAAACACTCACTTTAAGCTCATCAAAGCTGAGAGTGAAGTGCAGGATTTCTGCGAACTGTTTAGCGAGGGCCTGCTCTCTCTCCAGATGCTGCATGGGAGCGTAGGGTGGGCTTGTTAGGGCCTCCAATAGACTCCGCAGGGCGTTCTCTGCAAAGAGAAATTGATTACAGATTTTTACAGTAAAGTTTTTTCAAATTCATTCACATTGAATACTGTTGTCGTCCCTCAAGTTTTCCTAAGCTTTTTATCATCTGTTCACTCTTTCCCACACCTCTAACCTTTAATCGAATTTGTAATCCACGCAGCATAATGTACCAATAGCGCAGCACTGCAATGTATTTCATCTCCATGGTTACCAGCACAACAGTTATCATTGTTACCTCTAATGCCTCTCTTTTGTATTTTTGTAATTGCTGCAGTTTATCACAAGAACCTGTAATCCCATCAGTGTTGCCTAGATACTGAAGACCGTTGGAATCCGCAGCTGATGCAAGCATTAATAACTCCAAACTGCGGTATTTGACCATGATCACAAATGCTGGTTGCTTTTAAAACTCCAGTTCATTTTAAAACCTCTAATGTATTAATAAATGATAAAATGAGTGACTGACTGAACATTATTCCATGTACTACATAGCGGCTCACCAAATGTATCATGTATGGATGTGAAATATTGATGAATTTAAGTTTAAATTAGTGCTGTCAAATCAATTAATCGTGATTAATCGCATCTAACATAAAAGTTTGTAAATGTGTGTGTGTGTATGTATATATATATATATATATATACAGTACTGTGCTAAAGTCTTAGCACAAAGTCTTTTAAAAAAAATGGTTTATTATATCTTATCTAAATGGTTTATTATATCCAGTTATTTATATCTTTTGCTTTAGTGTGTCAGTAGGAAATATCAGTTTACATTTCCAAACATTCCTTTTGCCATTATTGTAATAATCCAGTGAGATTTTTGTATGCACAAGGAGTCTGACAACAGCTGGTATGAAACAGAAAAAACTTACACAGACTAAATCCAGAAGAAAAACTACCTGAAAAACAATGTGCAAGTGCACAGAGGACAAAAGCTGTTTCAAACGCAAGGGGTGGTCACACCAAACATTGATTTGATATAGTTAATAGAAGTTAATTGATAAATAAAATCTATTTATGAAATTATTTTTGAAAGCATCGACACTTTACAGCATTTTTACACACGTGCCTAAAACTTAAAGTAGGTTTCTTCAAGCATCTTGGAGATGTTGCCGCAATTCTTCTGGATTTAGTTTCTTTCTGTTTCTTCATGAAATACCAGATGGACTCAATGATGGTGAGATCAGATCTTCATGTGGAGCATACCGGCTGTTGTCAGACTCCTTGTGGATACAAAAATCTCACTGAATTATGGCAAAAGGAATGTTTGGACTTTTGTGGAGAATTATAAGTGATCTTCTTTTGACTTATTTTAAAAACATTTTCAAAAAAATCTTACTGGCCCTAAACTTTTGAATGGTAATATATATGACCACTCTGTGGCATTATTGATCTATCAGAATCAAATATTCCAGAGAGACAAGTCATAAGCAGTGTTATTGCAGTATCATCAGTATTATCACTGCATTAATGTTATGTAATGAAAGTGAATTTATGCTGTAGATCTGTGCTGTACGTCTTACCGGTGTAAAGCTCTAAGCGTATGTTTCCTGTTTGGTGACTAAAAGACATACAGCTACACCATCAGAGCTAAGCCATCTCTGAATGTCATTAGTATGCCTAAGCATATCTCCAGAGGAGCTATCCTTTCCTCTCATGAAATATGCAGCAGGCCTACTATAAATAAGGAGCTGATATGTTTTATCTGGAGACCTACCGAGAAACCTGACTCTATTAGCCGGTGACCAGATATTGCGGATGGCAGGATGTGTTGAATAGGGTGGAGCCTCTTTTTCTCATGAGTCACTGCGATGCCATAGTTCGGCAGGGAAAGCTTATCTGCATGTTATCTGTCTGGCCAAAGATCTGCGTTTCTCACTAGTCAGCACTGCTGTGAAAAAAGAGGCAGGCGATCGACTACTGCAAACTGAGTTTACTGAATTGTCAGCCTCCTCTTGGTTCTGCTGCCACGGTTGCCATGCCAACTCTTTACGAGGTCAGCTGCAGAGGAGGACAGAAACGGATGCTTGCACCACTCGTTGTACGCACGGTCAGCGCGTTGGTTGACTCGTGCATGCGAGGCCCGTTATATGACTATAAAAAAAGACAACTGGAAAAAAAGATAGCCACCCACTTACCTAGCCTGAGAGAAAATTCATAGAATCTCTTGAGCTTGGCCACAAGAGGGCAGACTGCATTCCAGGCTTTCTCCTGCAACTGGAGGTCATTGGGGTTCTGAATCGCCTGGAGAGAAGGACGAGCAGGAACACAAAATTATTCATTTACATTGACTAAACTCAAGGTCATTTGTACACTTTTAAATGAATTTACACGGTATGCTGTAGGGCTTCTTCAGCAATGTGAAACATTCACAGCTGAATAACTCCTGCACATCTGCTGTTTATGAACCAGAATGATTCAAACCAACAACCTGCTTAAACTAATGCCTTATAATGCCTATGTGTTTTATAATAGGCTCGGGATGAATAATTCTTAGGAGTTTTTTTCTAATAAAGCAACACCACTAATGTCACTAAATTGAAAAAATTAGGTTGCAATTAGGTAACAATGTTACATTGTACTTATTCAGATAAGTACTGAGTAATATTAATTAACTACATGTACTTACTATAGAGTTAGGATTTGGTTTAGGGTTAATTACTTGTAATTATGCATAATTTACTGTTGTTGTTGTTGTTGTTATTATTATGGTAAGTACATGTAGTAACGTGTAACTACATCACCTTAAATTAAAGTGTTACCGAAATGTATACTTTATTCAGCAAAGATGCATTAAATGATCAAAAGTGACAGTAAAAACATGTCACAAACTATTTCTGTTCAAATAAAAGCTATTCTTAAATCCTGAAAAAAAGACGTATCATGGTTTCCAATTCCACAAAAATATTAAGCAACATTGATAATAATAAAAACAATTATTCTTGAGCAGCAAATCATGATTTCCGAAGGATTAAGTTACTCAGCTAAACTGGAGTAATGGCTGCTGAAAATTAAGTTTTGCCATCATAGGAGTAAATTACATTTTAAAATATATTAAAATGGAAGACAGTTATTTGAAATTGTTATGATATTTAAAAAATATTTTTTGATAATAATAAATATAGCCTTGACTAGCGTAAGAGACTTCTTTCAAAAACAATAAAAATGTTACTGCCCCCAAACTTTCCAACGGTATGATTATGTAATAAATAAAATAGACACGTTTATCAAATTTTGCATAAGTGATTTACAAAAGATTTTCCAGTTTAAACAATTAAAACAATTGTACTGGACATCCATGATAATAATTTAAATCACGCAGATTGTTGAGAAGATGTATGCTTACAATAATAACCTGGAGGGTGATGAAATAAAATTCATACTTGATTCCGGAACAAGATGGGCTTTTTTAACTTGAATGAGTAAGCAACTACTCAGAACACCCTAGCACCCTAGTTTTGCACAGGTAAACACCACAAATTGTCTTCAGAAAATGTAAAAATTTAGAGTCATAGCCCTACCTCTCTTATTTCTTGTCCTGCTCCATTGTAAGACTGTAATTCTGCCAGTATCCCATGGGCCTCTTCCAGCACAGCACTAACCTGGTTATACACGGCTGTCTCGGCCTCTGTGGGCTGAGCATCTGTGGGCAGAAATCAGATTGAGTCAGTCAAAATGTGATAGTCAAATGCCAAAAACGATACACCTTTTTCAATTCCTCGCTCGGCCTACCTGAGTTAGATATACATCACCTCTGTCACACTGTCCTACTGGGTAAAAGTTACTGTGTTCAACCAGTCGAGTCAGAGTTACATCTAAAAACTGGAAAATTAATTGAAATAAAGCTTCATGGTGTGAGTTAATATGGCGCTAACATTGAATTATCATCTTTCTTTGGCACCCGGAGAGGGAAGCTCTTTCCAACGGGCTTTAAAAGATAGGAACCATAAAGCCATGTGGATTAATCTGGTAATGATGATGGTGTAATCGTGAGTCAGAAGTACATGAGGAGGATTTAGGTTGTGTCGGTGTATGTTAGGATTTGCTGGGCTTGATATCAACAGCTCTAGTGGGAAGTGTCGACGAAAGGCCACGGCCAGTGAAGCGGCTCCATGTGGAGTTGCTGGCGAGGCTAGGATTGGTTTAAAGAGTCGTGTCGACTTCCAACACAGCGAGCGTCACAGACATTTGATTAATAAGCTGATGATAGGCAGGAAAGCAAAGGCAAACGAATACCCTACAGAGTATCGCCCCCTGGTGGACGTCAATTTCGATGGTGGACCTCTCCATTTAGCTTTTAGTTTTCAACCACAGGACACACTCTTAAAAATAAAGCTTTCAAAAAGAGGGTTTTCACAGCGATGCCATAGAAGAACCATTTTTGTTTCCCCAACAAGCCTTTCAGTGTACAATTCTTAAAAGAACCATTTTTTTCCTTAGTGGAAAGAACATTTTAATAATCTAAATAACCCTTTTCTACTTTAACAAACCTTTAGTGCATGGGAAAGGTTCTATGGAAGGTACTTTGTGGAACCATAGACACCAATAAATAACTTTATTTTTAAGAGTGTAAGCTAAGCAGTGTAAAAACTGCAGCAAGGGGCATCTTGGGTAGTGCTGTCATTAAAAGTCTTTCCTAAATCAGATTTCTTAGTTTCCCCAAGCCTCTGTACGATAAGTGATCCTTGTGAAGCAGGGGTCTCTCTGCCTAATTTACAAGTGCACTCCCTTTTGCCGCATCCAAACGGAGGGGCTGTAATGTATATAGATGTTTGTGCTATCAGCTGAGCAAACACACACACACACTACACTTCAGTGTAATTGCCAGTGGCTCCTCCCAATCATGTCACCTTCGGCTCTGCTTGCTCAGCCTGCCTGTGATCTTCAAAGAACAGAGTGTGTGAAGACTAACATCAGTGCTACAGTGGTACTGTAATGTTTGCTTTCCCTTTTGCACACTTGTATTGTGCGGTGCACCATTTAGACCTTTTGGTTCATCACTTGTATCAGCAATTCAGTAAAACTGATCTGATCTTGAGTTTAAAGCCTATTTCCACAAAAGCCTTGTTTTTGTGTCTTGAATTTGAAATATAATAATTTTATGAATGCCATTAGTGGCACAGTAACCTCATTTTAGAGCTAAGGAAATGTAAACCAGTGCTGTGTAACAGAGGTGATCATTGTTTTACTGTCACAAATTCAAAAAGTCAAGATCAGGAGAGCGGCTGTTGTCCAAATGTTTTGCTTGTGTAACGTTTTGATATTACTTCTTTATATTTTATGGATTCTGCTATAGGGTCAAAGCCTCCGAATTGTGCCATGAAATGTAATATTTGTGTTCTTGTTGATTACATGTTTTCAGTTTGACTTTTTGCGAACAAAATGTTTTGCCTTCACTTTGCAGGACGTGTGCGGCACACTTGACCTGAACCAACCTTGCTATGTCTTTAAAACGTCAAATCATCTGATATTTTTAAGAAACTTGCTCCAAAGATATGAAAGTATACAGGGGTCGTGAAAACAATATGGCTTCCTGCATGTTGATTACACCAATTATAACATTTAATCATATTTAATTATGTTAATGATATTTTATTAATAACATAAAATATTTTAAATTAAAATAGCTTCACTGCTTTTTAAGAAATGATTAAAGATTATGCCAAATTATTGTTATTTAGAAATTGTTCTTATAATGATCTTAGGTCATTTACACCACTGAGACATTTTTTACTTTAAGCCCCACAAATAAATATCGAAACGAATTTTAATGTAGAAATTGAACGAATATCCATCATAGAAGAGGTGTATTTAAGTCAATTAATCAATACATTGGGAAGAAAATGAACATGTGTCATTGACCCTATAATAACTGTATGGCTTGTGTCACTTTAAGAACATCTCCTGCCAATTTAAATATTCTTTAGCCTACATTTCATGATATAGACTGGACAACAACCGCTCTAAGTCTTCCGGGTTCTCACACTTGAAGGACAGGTGTTTTATTTCCTTCATAAAAATAGGAGATGTTAGGCATGTAGCTGTTAGAGGTGTCATAAAAGGAAGGATTACTCAGGAGAGAGAGGTAAGGGTTAAAAGGGAACACGACATCAGAGAACAAGGAAATTGAGGCTCCCCTTTCAAAAGGCAGCTTCTATTCCCACTTCCTTAAATCCTCAAACTGGTTAATAATGCATTCACACACACACACACATCCAGATGTACAAGGACATACTGGAACAGATTATGGCGCCAACACACTTTACAAGTCTGCAAAGTTTTGGGCGAAAAAGAGGAGATAAGTTAAGTGTTACGTGATTATTTCCATCCCACTCTAACTGCTAAAAAAAGCGTGGCATTCGTACGACGACCTTTAATTCAGCGGATTGGAGTCGACCTGGAGATAAGCGCAAAAAAAAGGCACGTCACAAATTGAGGTCACCGAAAAACCCATGAATGCCAAGCATTTATGCACAAACAGAGGGATGGCGGAGAAAAGGAAGTGAAAATGTAGAGGACAGCGAATGAGGAGGAACCGTGATGAGAAGGGAAAGAATAGCAAACTCAAAACATAACAAGCTGATCGTCTCACGTTCAAAGTCAAGGAAAACTATTGGGCCATGCTCAAGTTCGGTGCAAGCCAGCAGTTTCAGGAGATTTCCCATGATCCCCCTGGAACAGAGAGAAGGGAGAAGTGTGTGGGTCATGGGAGGTGTGGCAGACGTGTCTCTGGTGTGGGGTGTGTGTTCGTGTGAATGTGCGTGGTGTCTGGGGATGAGGGGGTCGGGCGTATAGGGTTTGGGATGGACTTTCGATGTCGCTCCGGACACGAGAGATTCTCAGGTGATGTTAAAATGGTCACTTGGATCACACTGAAACTCTTTCTTTCTGCTCCCTTACTATACATGAAGGGAAATGAATGAACTTTTGGTTGGCTTCTACATTAAGAGAGAAAAAAGAAATAGTTTCCAAATACAAAAGTCTGTCTTAATCTACCTAGAGCATTTATGCATTTATATCTGCTCCAACCCTGATACCTCCATCTCCAATCACACACATATACATCTGAGCACACGTACACACTGTACACCAGCGAAACACTTACTTTCAAAATCCAGGAAAAAATGAGGACAGTTCTCTAAATCCTTGCCAAGGACTTTAATGAGGTTCCCCATGGCCGGCAAACCTGGGCAAGGAAGACAAATACATACAGTACAAAGAAATACAACCTAGATTATATTCATTAACAAGAATTCTAGACTGTCAGTGTGTGTTTTCACTGTAAAAAGCACTGGATGATTTCATATGCTGTAGTTAAGAGGCCGAATGTGTATTGTGGAATGCTCGAAAAGAAACAATTATGGTAGTTTTCTCATGTGGTATGTAACGAAAAGACTATTTGTGTCAGCATCAGCAAAATAAACTTTTTGACAAAACATTGAGTGATATAACTTTGGTTTAATATTTGGTGCGTGAACAAGAATAAGTTGTGGAATTTTCCTAGTTTTTCTTGGCTGTCAAAAATTGTATGCATGCATTCAAAGATGTTTGTGGTATCTGTCAGGAGTTTTTAAATAATAAAGCACACAAGACAGGAGTAGCGAACTTCATCCATCTTGTTTACTCTTCCGTTCTCCACACATTACGTCATAGATTTAACCATTTTAATCCAATAATGTGTGGAGTGCCGCGATGTGACAAAGACAGCACACCAGATACTAACAGATTCCATTCACAAACAGCCAGATTCCCAACTGTGAGCACAGGAAATCTCGCAAAATCTCTCGTGGTCAAACGTGACTTTATAGTAAACAAACATAATGGACGACGGGCAAGAAGAAATGTCTGTGAGAATAGTCTTTGGACTGCTTTTTACAGAAAATTCATGGAGGGGGTAACATCCAACATGTTACGAATTCGTACGATTTTTCTAAACTCACGTGATGGGTAGGTTTAGGGGTGGGGTCAGGTGTAGGTCATTCGTACGAATTCATACGAATTGGCCAACTCGTAAAATATGTACGATTTAGCAAAAAACGTACGAATTCGTATGAGTGAGGTTGTATGAATTCGTACGAATTAGCCACCTCGTAAAATTCGTACGAATTGCCGTGAGATCGGGTTGGCTCCGACGTTCTTTTGAGCAGATTCCTCACTCTTAACACACCTCCCACCACAAGAAAATCTAATAAGATGATCTGTAGTCATTTAACCAGCTAGACTTTCGAATATCACGTTTAGGTCTAAGTGGTATGAGTGTGTGTATGAGCAGTGTTTTCAGCTGGAGTTGTTGGTGTGTATGGAAATGCAGTGAGATGGGAAGCATTCCATGTCTTTCCAACACTAAGTCTTTTGGCAACCGTGAAAGGATCAGTAAACTTTCTGTGTCCCTTAAGAACATGCAAGGGGTTCCGTACCCTCACTTTATCCCCATCCTGGAAACAATGAGGACGAGCACCTAGCATCCGTGTACTTTTTCCTTTTGTGTTACAGCCTTGTAACTCTTCGGCGAAACAGTCATGTCAGTTGGTGAGTGCACCGGAGCACGTAGACTGCATGTAGAGTGAAATGGTCTACCCACAGGGGCAAGATAGATAGGGAAGCTCCACTGTCAACCACCAAATCAACCAAGGATTTAGCCTGATCGGCAGCAAATTCAAACTGGCTTGCTACAACAGCTCTGTCCAGTGTAAGATCAGTTTCTAGTAAAAGTCTCTCACGTATTCGTGGGCTAAGCACATTCTCTACTAACCGAACTCACATGAAACAACAAGCTCAAGCAAAGCAACACTGTAATGTCTCATGAAGCACCTGACAGCGTTCACGGAAGTAACAAAGTCACAAAATAGGCTTTCAATGCATCCATACATCGTACATGTGTTAGGCAAAGAGTAAAATCCATTGTCCCTCTGTACCAAGGCATTGAAGCAGTACAGCTCTTCGTCTTTTGTCCAGCCAGGCATACCCTGTATCATCAATAACCCATAGATCATTTTAAAAAATCCGAAGCCATGTGCTGCACGGCATAGCAGGCTCACTGGGGTAAGGCAGGGATAAACTCGGGAAAGGCACGTTAGCAACAACCATCTTCGTGACCAACAATAGCGGTATTAAGTAACGAAACACACAAGACAGGAGTAGCGAACTTCATCCATCTTTACACTTCACTTACGTTCTCCACACATTGTCATTGCACAACAGTTCAACAATGTCCTTTACAAAATAGCAGTCACAAAACAATTCGCCTTTGGCTAAGCCCCGCCCCCCTTAGTTACTGTTGCTACGTCCGACAAACAAACTTCATCTGGGCTCTGGTATCAACATGGCTTATGCTGAGACAGCTCGTCCTGCTGAAATTTTATCAAACTTTTATAAAGCAGAAAATAAAGTGTCCGATATAAGTAGGCAAAAGGGGCTGCAATATACGTTCGAAGACTATATTCACGACAAACAGGTGAAACGCAAGGAACAACAAGGCATCCAGATAGAGGCAAAAGCATACCGGTCACAGTCAAAAAATGAACCACCGCATATCCTACTAATCGAGACGGAGGCTGGGACTAACAATATCAAGGAGCAACACTGTTCATGCAAAGCTGGGTAGGTCTCTATTCACATCTTCTATAATCGTTATTACAAAGCAAACAGACTACGCGAGTATAACGTTGTATTTATTAGTAGCGTGTGCTAGACGACACTTGTCAGGATTTGACTTCGGTTTGGGAAGGGAAAAAAACGCACACCACCCTCCAACCTCTCTGGGAAACGCGTATCTGTGTTACAAACGCCCCAGGCACAACATTTAACCATATTTTTGATAAAACTACGACGGTAATAGCCTGCCGAGACCAAAAATATGAGACGCCTGTGTTAAAGTCAATGGAGCCCTGTGAAAAAGTGTCGGACCTCTGTGGAAGCTTGTTGGCTGCGCTGTGATTGGTCAATCTACATTCTAGGGTGTGGCTTAGCCAAAGGCGAATTAAATTACCAACACAACAATGTTAATATAATGTTGGTCTTTTTTCTTTCGTCATATTGTTTGTTGCAATTATGCAGCATTTGTATGTTGCAAGGAAAATGAGCAGAAATAACTAATCATGACACATCACACAGGCAGATACAAACACCTTTTGGTGGTGATTTACTATTGTGTGACTTGTGATGTAACCATATATTGAATGAACAGAACTCAAACTAACGCTGTGAAACCAGCTGTGACTAATAGTTTCTTGTGAATTTGATCCATACTGAAAGCGAAATTGCTATGATGCAATACTAGAAAATCAGTTATGTTGAGCAGGATTTTGGCCCAATGAGATTTCTCTGTGGGTGGGGCTACCCAGCGTGACATAAATAGAAATTGACAAAACGTCTTGTAGCTTGTGGCATTCACTGCTGGTTTGGACAAAAACATGCTTTTGGTGCTTATTGCTTTATTAGATTGCATTTGGTTAGACCATTATGTTGTACTATCAACATAACTGTTCTGTTTGTTCAGTTTGTTCAATTTGCATATGCTAAATATCAATTGCAGTTGGTAATGGACACCAAATGTTGCAGCTTCACTTGGTAATAGCTTGCATGAGAGGAATAATTTTGGACACAATGCTATTTAGAAATAAAATAGATGGATTATCATGGCATTGATAATAGCACAAACCTATCATTTCCCAAGAGACACAAATGTGCAAATGGACAGTGTTTAAAATAAGAATAGAAATAAGAATCTGACTGTTTCATATTTCGCCTTCTAAATCTTCCATATCAAGCAATATCCTTTACGTATGGCACACAAGGCAAAGATGGCTCCTCTCAGCCTGTTTATCACTTAAGAGGCAGTCTCCCCCCTTCTGCCTGTCTCCTGGCAACCACCAGTAGAGCCCTGTTTCCATGGCTGGACCACATTGCCTCTCTCGTCTATCTGAGGCTTTCATAAGCTACCAGCCAAATCCAAGTCTAAAGTATACAACAGCCTATTAGAAGACCTCAAACAAATAAATCTATCTATCTCTCTATCTATCATTTGTCATCCATCTATCTATCATTTGTCATCCATCTATCTATCTATCTATCTATCTATCTATCTATCTATCTATCTATCTATCTATCTATCTATCTATCATTTGTCATCCATCTATCTATCATTTGTCATCCATCTATCTATCTATCTATCTATCTATCATTTGTCATCCATCTATCTATCTATCTATCTATCTATCTATCTATCTATCTATCTATCTATCTATCTATCTATCTATCTATCTATCATTTGTCATCCATCTATCTATCTATCTATCTATCATTTGTCATCCATCTATCTATCTATCATTTGTCATCCATCTATCTATCTATCTATCTATCTATCCATCTATCCATCTATCTATCTATCTATCTATCTATCCATCTATCTATCCATCTATCTATCCATCTATCTATCCATCTATCTCTCTATCTCTCTATCTATCTAGTCATCTATCTATCTATCTTTCTATCTATCTATCATGTCATCTATCTATCTATCTATCTATCTAACTATCTATCATGTCATCTATCTATCTATCTATCTATCTATCTATCATGTCATCTATCTATCTATCATGTCATCTATCTATCTATCTATCTATCATGTCATCTATCTACAGTATCTATCATGTCATCTATCTATCTATCTATCTATCTATCTATCTATCTATCTATCTATCTATCTATCTATCTATCTATCTATCTATCTATCTATCTGTCTGTCTGTCTGTCTCATCTATCTGTCTGTCTGTCTGTCTGTCTACTGAGTAAGTAAACTGTGATGTAAACCTCAGTTCCATCAATCGTGTCTAACCAAAGCTCTCACTCAGAAAAGTCAACAAAAAAATCATACAGCTGTCCATTACTTACCAGCCAACAAATGGTTGCCTTCCCTCTTCCAACTTCCCTTAAAGCCTCACTGTGCTAGTCTTCTCTGTTTCACACTCCTATCTCAGTCTCTTCCTCCCAGTACTCCTTCTCCAGAGCTGTCCCTGAGCCCAGCTGTGAAGAGTCCGTCTTAATGCGGTCGGTGCCGTACAGCCCCACAGGAACCCTCTCAGCCTTACCAACGGTCCCCTCTGCAGCTCTGCGTTCAACATCGCTCTGCTCTTTTCACACTTCTCTTTTTCTGACTGCTATTTAAAGGCAGGGCTTAATTTAAAAGAGCCTGGTTAAACCGTTTCTCTGTGGTGCCACTGTATGTGTACGCTTGGTTTTGATAGGGTGAGAGGATAGAGAAAAGGTGGCTTTTACTAGTGCATGGGTTTAACGATGCCTTGAACTCTCTAGCTGCAGTTTCCTGTGTACGAAACATCTCCTCTACTGAGTTTTAAAAAGGCACTGTTGTTTTGTGCTCTGCAATAAGAGAAAGTACCCAGTCTTTTTGCCATTTTCTGGATTGAAATGAACGGCATATTAAAATTTGGGTTTGGGTTTAATCTAAAAAAGAAAGGAAATTCAATAAAGCTGACTTTGTAGAACAAATATTGAGAACAGAGCCCCGGTGTACTTGGTTATTAGGAAGTGACCCTGGTGGAAGCTTGTTGGGCTGACCAAAAAAAAAAAAAAAAAACATTGCAACTGACTGAGGTAGAAACTAAACTGAAAATCCTGTGCTTACAGCAATATCACACTGTCTCTTTCTGGTCTGTTCAGACTAGCCCAGACCTGGTCAGGGAAATGCATATTTATTGTAATATCACATCCAGGATGTTGCATAACTTTAACAGTAAAGCTTTTGTCTCAAATATCTGTTCATGATTTTATTACTGCGTATAAAGAGATGAAGGGACGAAACGAATGCCTATAAATGTTTCTGCATGGCATCTGTTCGTAGGCTATTTTTGATTGGAGTTGTGACTCTGCTGTTTGTGCTGAAAACGATAAGTAAATCTGCACCATCACAAAGTGGGCAGATGGAATACAGTTGCTTTCAGACACTTCTGAGGCTTTTGCCTTCTATCACATGCTTCCATATGGCTTGGCGAATGCGGCCGCATTGTTTCCGGTTCATACCTTTGCTTGCGATTTTCCTCACAGAGCACTTCACTGCATCAAATGAGAGCCTGTATGTTTCTCCTGCAGTATCACAGCATCAGCCTCCACTACCTGAGAGAAACAACAAAAAATAAAGACAGATTAGTTGAATTCAGAGAAAAAGGCTCAGAATGTGAACAATATGGCAGGGTTATATGTGGGTCTAAGGTTATGGCTGTGCTTACATACAGAGGCTTGTTTGAAAGCAGTCACTCCGGTAGACAATGAAGTGATAAACCTCTGGGGAGGGATATATTATATATATTTGACAGGTCACAATCTGATTCATTTCTTGAGTGGCAGGGCCGGCCACCAATCTATCATTACATCCAGCAAACACACTCGCCCACCCCAGTATAACCCTTCAAATAAGGAGCCACGTAAATGGTTAGCTCAATGCATTATGCGGCAATGTCTCTCATAAATCTGAAGCACTGTGTGCAGCACATTGTGCATCACAGCACACAAAGCTATCTGCTCACTGCAGTGGTTTTATGACTGATCTGATACTTCTACAATAACATGTGGGGATCATTTACCACACCAACATGATGCAGGCTGACTCAGAATCCATTCTACTGTTTAACGGTGAAGTGTGAAATTTAAAGTTGTTAAAATACTTTTTTTTCGATGGTAGCTTAATATGCAGAGACAATTATAAGTAGGCACTTTGTAGATTAATTTTCCCAGAAAGTGGAAAAATTGTGTCTTGTGTCATTGACTCAAGCAATGAAATTATGCTTTACCTTTAAAAAACAGCAACACACTGATTATGAAAATATATACAACACCGTTCAACTGTTCAAACTTTTAAATGGTAGCGTATAACCATTTGTTTTTCTATAAAGTAGCTAGTAATCTTTATAACCGTGTTGGATGCATGCTGTGGAATTTCAATATAGTCCAGCCAGCGGTATATGACCTGCAATTAAATTCACTTCAGCATTGGGGGACTTCAGACTTAATGACCGTGCTGAGGACAGGGTCATCCAGGGTCACCTGGGACCAAGAAATGTCTTTGAGGCCATTCCTAGTGCATAGATCAAACCTGTCCACCCCCAGAAGAAAAAGAGTGTTTAAATGTAAGAGGATAAAGTTGTAATTATTTGTATGTTGGTACTGACTGATATACATGTCACAGTGAACAAAACATAAGGTCAAGAATTTCTTAATGACCTTTGCCAGCGACATCCTAACAATGCGGTGTCAGGTCAAAGTAACTTCAAAAGGACTTATTACAATAAAGAGCTCTCTGAGGAAACTGGAACAGATGTTCTCTTCTGCACTCAGTCTTTACACAAGGCTCTTAAAGTTATTTTATAGTTCCATTTGCACTAATGTCACCTTTATTTTCAGTTTTTGAAGCAGAAGCTTTAGGCTCACCAACGGACTGGAAATCTCATTGGTTGTTCAGATTTCAAACAGTCTGCTCTACATTGTCACAAAAAAAATGTACCTTCAGGCATACTACAGCTTTTCATTGGGGCATTACCTTATCTGCCCCTTGAATGCTCATATCAGTACCTTTTAGGGGAAGTTATATGTACCCTTAAGGTACTACTCTGAAACTTTTAGGGGTAAAAAAGGTACAAAGTTGTCCCTTTAAAGGGTTAGTTCACCCAAAAATGAAAATTCTGTCAGTAATTACTCACCCTCATGTTGTTCTAACCCCGTAAGACTTTCGTTCATCTTCGGAACACAAATTAAGATATTTTTGATGAAATCTGAGAGCTGGATCACTCCTCCATAGGCTTCTTAAGGGATCGAAACTGGCCAGCCCAAAAGTTATGAAAGACATCGTTAAAATAGTCCGAGTGACTACAGTGGCTCAATCTTAAGTTTATCAAGCGACGAGAATACTTTTTGTGCGCAAAAAACAAACAAAAAGAACGACTTTATTCAACTACTCTGTAAGGCCGTGATATTTCACGTAGTGAAACTACGCAAAGCTTCTAGGTTGCACGTCACACGTAGGCTCACTATTGGCCGACGCTGGTCATGTGTGTGATGCGTGACGTACAACCTAGAAGCTTTGCGTAGTTTCACTACGTGAAATATCACGGCCTTACAGAGTAGTTGAATAAAGTCGTTCTTTTTGTTTGTTTTTTGCGCACAAAAAGTATTCTCGTCGATTGATAAACTTAAGATTGAGCCACTGTAGTCACTCAGGCTATTTTAACGATGTCTTTCATAACTTTTGGGCCGGCCAGTTTCGATCCCTTAAAGGTATAGCGGAGGATTTTCTTTTTCCGGGTGGGTAGTCTATACTATTGGTCCACCTAAGTGTCAATCATTCTGGTGATATGTTTACTTAAGGGCGTCGTACGTGCTCGTCCCTATGTAGTTTTCGCTTTCTACGCATGCACACTTTCAGTTGTATTATGTGTGATGAGTTACGGTTTCAGCCATTCCTTTGAAAATGGCTGAGGGTTGAAAGAGAAAAAATGTATATGAAGTGTATGATAAGAAAAGAAAGGCCGCAGGATATAGAAACAAGACCAGAGTGATTTTGGGTGAATATTTCACACGCTGGCTTGCGCTTAATGCGCTAAAAGCACATGTTGGGCTTCCCACTGATGCAGCAGTCGCGAAGATTCTACTAGACAGGTAAAGTTTGTCATGCTATTTGGAGAAATCCATTTAAAATCACTGCTAGTAAAAGTTAATGTAAGCTATCATGCTCTCTCGTGCACACGTTTAATAGGCGTTCCCTCTCGGGAGCAGATAAGAGTGTTGCGCATGTGCATTTTTTTTTTTTTAAATGGAGAGGGTGGGTCTTCTCTAAAATTCGGAAAGATCCTCCGCTATACCTTTAAGAAGCCTATGGAGGAGTGATCCAGCTCTCAGATTTCATCAAAAATATCTTAATTTGTGTTCCACAGATGAACGAAAGTCTTACGGGGTTGGAACAACATGAGGGTGAGTAATTACTGACAGAATTTTCATTTTTGGGTGAACTAACCCAGGGTACTGCCCCAGTGATAAGCTGTGTAAACCCTAAAGGTTCAATTTGCACATCTGTACATAAAAAACACATTGGTCTGGCATTGTGTTCTGCAAATATTTTAAGCTCTTATGGTAAATTGCGTGTGATGTTCCTCATTTGAAAGTCACTTTTCACAAGCGTCTACCAAATTAATACACGTAAATGTGTGAATAGGTAGAAACCAATTTTTCTATTCAGAATTTTGTCGCAACGAACATTCAGTCTTGATGTTAAAGGATTAACTTAGTTCACCTCAAAATGAAAATTTCCTAATAATTTACTCACCCCAATGCCATCTAAGATATCCATGTCTTTCTTTCCTCAGTGAACGAGAAAAAAAAACGTTATTGAGGAAAACATTTCTGGATTTTTCTTCAAATAATGGATTTCAATTGCAATCAACGTTTTGAAGTCCAAATCAATGCAGCTTCACAGGTCTTTGAAGTGCTTTAACCGACTGTGCAAGATCGCAGCTGAGGAATATATATATATAAATACTTTTAATCTTTTTAACTACAATTGTTCGGATTGAGCTGATCTGCAACGCGCCGGGAACTAGGTCATCACGTTGAAAGGTCACGCTCGATGTCGCCGGCGCCGGTGTTCTGACGATTTGTGCTGCCTTGTCGAAAAATGCTACCGTAACGCGAATCGATCACAGAATGTCGATTAATATTATATGAAATACAATTATAATACAATTCTAAGTTATGAGTAGCTAGGCTACTGTATACTGTAGACTACTGTTTTTATTTTTAAAACGGTGTGAAAATTAAAAATTATCATCAAATATTCATCTTTGACTTGTCAAAGCACACTTTTCCTTAGTAAATTTAACTTTCAGTTATTATTGTTCAGCTGGCTGACCGTACACATATTCATATGCTAGTTAGCATTTTTAAAGGGAAATTACAATATAACACATGAAAATGTACCTTTTGTTAAAAAAAACTGTGCGTCTGCACATGCGCATAACCATTAAGTAGCAAATCTCGATGGGTAGCATGAATCGTCAGAACACCTGTTTAAGTACCGCCCCACTGTTTACAAAGCGACCGTGAGAAGGAGGATGCAATACAAGTTTGAATAACGTTACAACAAGTTCAAATTATATTGTATGTTGAATGACATATTTATGTCTTTGTGTCATATTATTGTTTAAAATGGTCCTTACGTGTGCGTATCCTGGATGTTTAAATCTCATCGCGCGTGACCTTTCAACGTGATGACGTAGTTCCGGGCGCGTTGCAGATCGGCTCAATCCGAACAATTGTAGTTAAAAGTATATATATATTTATTTATTATTATTATTTTAATTACCTATCGTTGCGCTAGATAAGACCCTCTTCCTCAGCTGCGATCGTGCACAGCCGGTTAAAGCACTTCAAAGACCTTTGAAACTGGATTGACTTGGACTTCAAAACGTTAGTTGCAATTTAAGTCCATTATTCGAAGAAAAATCCAGAAATGTTTTCCTCAAAAAACGTATTTTCTCTTCCACTGAGGAAAGAAAGACTTGGATATCTTGGATGGCATTGGGGTTAGTAAATTTTCATTTTGAGGTGAACTAGAATAATCCTTTAAATACTGTATGTGAAAATGTTGTTTGCAAATTAGAGTCAAACTAGAGTAAAAAGCCTTCAAGCCTACACATTATCAACCTTGAATGAGCTAAATGTTTGATCGGAATGTGCCTTTATAGGGGACATCATTTATTTATGATTTAAATTCATAAAGTTATTATACTATATGGGTATGGGAGAAACTGCACAGCACTGCCTAATTATCAAAAATGACTCATTAATATACTTAAAACACAGAAGCACTTTCAAAGAATAATGAAAGTGTGTGGGTAATGAAAAGAAATGAACAAATGGCAAAAAGCTCTTTAATTTTTATTGTCAGGTTTCGTTAAATTCTGTAAAATTGTACTACTTTTTGACAGGAACGTGAAAACGGCGCAATTTACCTAAATTCACCCTATTCAGCAGTCAACTTTAACCATGATTCAAAGACAATAGAAGAATAGTGAAATTACATGTAAAGATGTACTTAAGTCCTACAACAAGTGGGTCAAAAATTTCAG